TCGTCCATCAAACATACAAAACTTGTCATCCTGAAACGTTCAAAGATTCTTCCTTCATAAATGCTTTCAATTTCGTAAACCCCGTTAGCCACCACCTGGTGTAAGCCGCAGAGACGGCGCCGCGCGTCGTACTGGTACTGCACGCCGGGTGTCAAGGTTTTGTTTTTATATCTTGCGAGCATGCATGCTCAAAATATAGCTTTCTAATTTATCTCCCCAACTGATTTTGACCACACGAGGAACATTCCCCCATGAACATGAGCTGGTCTCTTAATACTGGTTTATGACCTGACTTCCATCCACGATCTACATTCACGGGCCCTTCATATCTAGGTGTAGCCCGAAACAAATATGGCAAAGCTTCCGAATCGTAAAACATAGCAGAACTGCATTGTCCGTTATCTTCTGGCTTTCGTTCCACTTACAGAAGGTAAAACTAAGAAAAATAAGAGAGAATCGTGCCCCTCAAAAGTAAGTTGGGCATATTCTTTGATTTCTGTTTGCGTGATAAGGGTCTCCCACCACCAGGGACCCTGTTCTAAACCATGTGTCTCTCCTACCACGGCTCTGGCTGTGCGCCTGCCCTTATTAAATGTAATCCACCTAAGTGTAACCTCAATGTAGCATAATTGTTTTTCTGACTCTTCATATTTTTTAGGTGATGATCACCTGTCTGGCTGCCTTCTCCCCTTGATGATGATCTGTATCGATAACAGGCGTTATAAGATCTTGAACCAAAGATGACCACCCTTCAAAAATCCAGGATATGCTGGTTAAGTAAAGATATCAGGTAGCCCTATAAGACACATCTGGATAAAATAGGCATCATGCAACTCAACATTGTGTCCTGCTCTCAAAATTGTTTAAGATGGGAAGAAATGCTTGCAGTTGACTACATGACTTCAAAAAAAGATTCCATTGCATTAAAATGATCATGGTTTACGGCCATGCGTTTGGCTTGCACGACCTTGACTCCGCGTTCTTGACCTTAACTCCGCGTTCTAAATTACACCGTCATTGGTTGTCAAACTGCGTACCGTAAGCTTCTGCTTCCCAATTTTGCCCTTAGCCTCCAAATCCTTTCACTGTTCAGATGGAAATTGGTACTCATTTTGAAATCTCAACATATATGTTACTGGATAAGTGTTTTGAGGTGTGCATGGTGAATTTAGACGTTTTCAGTTTGGTCGTTGCTTTCACGATTGTCTGTATTTGCTAGTTTCCAGCCTTAAGTCTGCAGGCGTTTGCTCCAAGCCTTCTTTGGTTTGCGCTTGATTTTGATAGCATTTCAGCCATTGCGTCAGACATTGGTTTATTCTCCATAATAAGGTCCCTTACTCCATAATAAGGTATAATAAGGTCATAAGGTCTGCAGGTCTGACTTGGCTGTTTCCTGCAAAATTTTGTTACGTGGCGGGAGGGTCTTCGAGTTGAGCTGTGGAGCAGGGCATTTATTGAGTTGGGCGGGCTTTCGGAATCTTGATGAAAGGCAGGCCTTATTCTTAGGACGTGAACGATCCAATGAATGCATGTCGTGTTAGATCAAATTTGTTGATAAGGAAGTTGGACAACAAAGTCTCCATCCTCATTGTTCCGTGGCAAATTCTGTGATGCGCCACATCTGTGAACGTCCTGTTTTTGACGCATTCTCTTCCATGACACGCCTCGCCGCACGAAACCCTGTCCGTTATGCACTCTGCCCCATGAAGCGCACTGTTCCGTGACACAGCATGTGTCATTGAATAGGACCTGGCTGAAATGGGCCGCTGTATGTACCCTCATGTTCGCCGGAATGCCCGTTTTAATTGGCTCGGGTCGCATGACCGCGCATGCAAATGCGCGGCGATATCCTTGGGCATTTGTCGTCACGAGTCCTGCACCGCGTGTCCGGAGGGCCATTTCTCGGCCGCCTCAGGTGGCGCCAGCCCGCCGCAGGAGAGCTCCGATGTGCTGATCTCCGCGCTGGCTGGGAGTCACGTCTCGAACCAGTGAAACATTGAACACCAGTGCCGTTGGATGGGAGTGTGTGAATCCGAGTCCGCGTGGAGACCGTTCGTTCAGGTGGCCTATCAGAATGCTGCCGTGAGTGCTGTCCAATCAGTATTCCATTCCTCAGTGGAACATGGGATTGGCCAGTGCGCCGCGGGCTGCCTTTTTGCCCTCTCGCTGACTGGTGAGGCTTATGTCGGCCCCTCGAATCTTGTGCTTCCCTTACAAACAATGACTAGATTGCCCATCTGAAAACTCGATGATGGTGGCGCGTGCTGAGCATCCATGGGCGTCGTGTTTGCACTATGTCACATGGGGCAATGGCTGATGAAATATACATAATGGAACCTGAATAAAATACATACATGCGATGCATCTAGAACCATCGGTGTTAGCCAACAGACGGGGCTGTGTGCTATATTGAGAGCGGTGCGATGTGAACATGAATGTCGCACGTATGTTGCATGTGGTGTTATCCCAGATTGAAGGTGAGTTGTGTTCTTCAAATGGAAAGAACGTGGTTTTTCCCGTTCGCAATCGCACCAGAGCGCTTGGACGCGGGCTCGGTGCTGTCTTGGAATGTACGGTCCTCCACAACTGTGCGTCCGCATGACAAAATAAATGCTCATGACAAAATAAATGTTAATGATCATTGACAACGACCATTTTCTTGATCATTACAGTGATTATCAAGACCATACAGCCGGCAATAGCGAGCTCTAGCCACTTGACAGATGGCTTTTTTTAAAACAGGCTATGCCGTTTGCGCTCGTCAAGCGATTTATTACATAACACAACAGCCAGGAGCACGTCAATAGTGTCCATGTAACTCAAACGTTCGCTTTTGGTGCGTGTGCCACTGCATGCCTTGGAAAATATAGCCATGACGAATATGCCCACTTAGGTGGACATCTTCTGCTAACACATCGGTACAGATAGACAGCAATGTCGATGACATGCAAGTTCACATTCAGTTTTTTATGATTATCATACAAACACCGTACCATGATTCCAACACTTTCACAACGCCTACGCAGCCTAGTCTACGAGTGCTACCACTGAACCGCTGAACGTGAGAGAGCTGACTCTGGATGGGCATTCAGCTGCGTCTTGCCTGGTAGACTTGACACATGGCAACGTGCGGAGACCGTCATTTCGACGGGACATTCAGATTCAGACAGCGTGCCACCCCGGTGCCATGAAGAGTGGACGTACAACATCAATTGAAGGAGCTGTGACAAGTGACACCGACCCAGCTGTCTGGCAGAGCCATCAATCTGGTCACCAACGACACTCTCATTTCCGCACTCCGCGAGCATCCGACCCCAGACCCGCCATCCAACTTCAGACACTGCAATTGCAGTGCGCGGTTTATGTATATATACACATATACATACATATACACATATGTATGTATGTATGCAGACATTATATATATATATATATATATATATATATATATATATATATATATATATATATATGTCTGGGGGTCTCGCATCTTCTAGTCCCGCATGCAATCCACGATGCACACCATAGCTTTACTCGTCAAAAGTACTGGACATAAGCGCTGTGAGTCCCCAACATACCGGGGACCAAATGCTGCAAGACGCACAGCTTAGTTGAAATTTAGTGTTCTACTCCAAGGACTTCATTTGAGAATCTTACCTCTCAATGTCCTCGTCTATCAAATCGCATCTACTAATCCAGTGACAACTATTTTACAGCAACGTCCATGAAGCTCTCGTCCCACTGCCACGGCTCGTCGCCATCCTGAGCCTCTATGGCAGATATGCGAAAATATCCCCGGCTCGTGTCCGGAGCATGGCAGGCATCGTGGGTTCAACACCCAGTAGCAACACGATCATTCGAATCTCACAGCAAATCGTCGTGATCACGGAGACTCACGTCGTGTGGCAGGAACATAACAGCGGTAATCTCCTGTGTCCAGCACCCTTTGTGAAACTAATTATTTCAGTAATTCGCTGTAGGGTTCATTTCATCACTAGCGAATAAGTCACGACCCCGAGAGTGACTGGGTCAGCGATCCCTCGGTCCCCTGTTCACATATCCATGCATGCACGTGACAGCAGCACGGCACGGCACGGCACGGCACGTTCAGGGTCTTCTAAACAGCTCTAGTGCTGGGAATCCCTTGGGAGGGCGGCCAGGTTCTGTAACCTCAAGCACTAACGCTTTGGGCTCTGGCCACGTCTTTTTGGTCAGTCGTCCATCATACACATACAGACAGAGGTTAGAACGTAGTATGTGTAATGCAAAATTGCTCACTAAATGGTCAGTAAATGGACGTAGTCTTGCAACGTCGGTCAGCAAATGGGGTTTGAGCCAGGGAAATGACTCTAGATGCCTCAGCTTTGCGCGAAATTCACCCAATCCACTCTGCTGCTCAAATTGAGAGACTAACGCTGCCGAGCCTGGATGACCTCTCACTGAATGCGAGGCTACACAGATATTCCTGCATCCTACAAAACCATCCCAATGCTCAACCTTAGCAAGCCCCAGGTTTTGACACGAGGAAAATCACAATCGCAAGCAGACATAGCAGATACCAGCGACAAGCCGGTCGTCTTACTTTAATACTGCTGAACGGTTTGATCAATTTTCTTCACGCTTCGACAGCCATGATGATCACCTATGACTCCTCGCGACAACCCCCACCTCCAACCCGAGCCCACCTCGGTGGATTGCCGTCGCTCGGGCCGGGCCGGGCGGTGCAGCGCGACAGACCCCATGTTCCCTCTCTCGGCCACCAGTTGGCTGCCGCCTGCGTCGCTCGGGCCGGGCCGGGCGGCGCGGCGCGACAGACCCCATGTTCCCCCTCTCGGCCACCAGTTGGCTGCCGCCTGCGTCGCTCGGGCCGGGCCGGGCGGCGCGGCGCGACAGACCCCATGTTCCCCCTCTCGGCCACCAGTTGGCTGCCGTCCTGCGCCACTCGCCACTGCCTGCGGGCTGATGACGCCCTCAGACCCCGGCGGCGCCTGCGGCCGCCATTAGCACTCGGCCGGCTGGGGGGCGCCCCGCAGCGCGCGCAGCGGAATCATCGCGTTGCCGTTGATCCGGAGCGTGGCGTTGTGTGCTGCGGTGCAACTCTGCGAGCGCAGCGGCGCGCCGCGCTGCGACGGCAGCGTCGTGGCTGTGCGGCCCAGCGGCAGCGCCTCCAGCGAGCCCTGCCGGCAGCAGACCAGGTGGCGCAGCCGACGCAGCGCCATCTTGATCTCGGGCATGCGCGCCGCGTAGATGACTGGATCCACCAGACACTTGAGGACGATGAGGGTGTTAGCGGTGATGGTCATGCCCAGCTGCGCCTGCAGGCCCAAGTCCCTGGCGTGGAAGGCGCAGTCGGCGCAGATGAGAATATAGGTGAGCAGGCCGGGCATCCAGCCCAGGATGTAGGTGCCCAGGATTAGCAGCGTGGTCACGATTGCCTTGACGCTGCTCTTCAGCTGCGAGCTGTTCTGGTAGCGCAGGATGCCCTTCTGGTGCTGCCGGATGATGACGAAGATGTGCGAGTAGGTGAAGAACATGCAGCCGAGCGGCACGAAGAAGAGTGAAGCGACCACGCGCCGGAACGTGCTGTAGTGGAGGAAGACGAAGGAGCACTCGCCGGCCGGCCGGAACCCCCCTGCCGCCAGGAAGTAGAGGAAGAAGAAAGCTATGGGCACCAGCCAAAGCAGCACGATGCAGGTGAGGACGCGGCCGCGCGTGATGAGTCTCGCATAGTGGAGCGGCCGCAGGATGCCCACGTAGTGGTTGAGCGCCAGCGCCAGCAGGTGCGCTGCCGTCGAGATGACGCCGCCCAGCCGGAGCGCCTCGAACGCCAGCGAGAAGCAGACGTTCAGCGTCTCCACGCCAAAGCCGACCGGCAGCAGACTGTTGACCAACAGGCCGAGGCCCAGAATGCTGGCGGCGAAAGCGTCGGCACCGGCCAGGCTGACCGAGAAGCACATGGTGGGACTGAGCGGTCGTCGGATCAGGCGAGACGACAAGCAGATAGTCAGATTAATGATGGTAGCTACAGTGCAGAAGAACAGCATGACGGGCACCGACACCAAGTAGATGATACGCTTTAGCTCTTCCTCGTCGGTGCGTCGCTGCGCCGCCAGCTTCAGCTGCAGCAGGGCGGTGTAGTTGAAGCTGCTGTTCATCGTCTGCAGGAGCTCGTCCAGGGACAGTGGCCTGTCCCAAGAACCGTCGGCACTGAAACGAAGCGAGAGGCCACCGTCACTGACGGCGATGTGACACATTCCGGGCCTAATAGCAGGACACAGTTCCAATGAACCGACTACAAAGGAAAACGAAGCTCACGAAAACCTAATTTCATATCAAATGCGTCATATCAAATGCGTCCAATGCCGTCGGCCAACTTCAAATAATTGCCCCAACGCCAAATGTTTTTCACTCTCTCTCCACGTCAGACGCTGAACTCAGTCTGGCGTGCGTGGTCGCACACAAGCACCTCTGCTCTCCCCCGTCGTGCCCAGCTGAAGTCTGTAACGAGCGGGTGTTTGTCAGGTGGCTGTCCGAGCACGCGTCTCTCCGTTAACGACGCCAGGCGGTGGGCAGAGTCGGCAGACCACGCGACGCGGGAGCCTTCATTTGCGCTGTTGCCTCACGCTCACCGCCAGGCTGGGCGGTGTGTTTACGGCACTTCATAAATCGTCTCTGAGGACAGCTTGGGCAGCTGGCGCGCGCCCACCTGCTGGCAGCGGGCCACAGGGGGCGTGTTTGGAGCCACTTGTGAGTCGGTGTGGCCCTCGGAAAGCGTGCTCATCCCAGCTAAGCGCAGACGGACTTGTTGGAGGCATTATATGCCATGTTCATGACGGTTGACTATTGTCAGGTGCGCTAAACTCTGGTGATTATTTGCGGTAATGCCACCCCCACGGGTATAAAAAAACTTGGTCAAAGCGTCAGCTGTCTCGTTCATCTCATGCAATTAACGCCTCGCATGATACATGCTGGGATTTCCGGGTCAGGGCCCATATCAACACTTGGCGAGCGTCCGAGAGTTGGTCTTCCAATAGAAACAAAATGCATTAAAAACATATTTTGCAAGGTAGTGCACATCAGCCCACGTCACCGCCGTTTCGTTTTGAAGTGCATCGCTGCTTCGGTTGAAGAGCACGCGCGGGGTATTGAACTGCTCAGAAGGCGTCCAATGCTGCTTGTTCACCGGCGTCGTCCAGCCGTGTTCATTCGAAACCAACGAAAAGAGCGCGGATACTTCCGGAACGTCAAGGTTGACTGCGGAAAAATGCACTGGGGTAGAAGGAAAAGGATAAGGAACTCTTTTTACTGGGAGACTGACAGTACAGCATTGATCTTCTCTCTCTCTCTCTCTCTCTCTCTCTCTCTCTCTCTCTCTCTCTCTCTCTCTCTCTCTCTCTCTCTCTCTCTCTCTCTCTCTCTCTCTCTCTCTCTCTCTCTCTCTCTCTCTCTCTCTCTCTCTCTCTCTCTCGCTCGCTCTCTCGCTGTCTCTTCCATTCATTCGCCGACAGCGCGTCACTACCGTGCATCTGTAAACCACGGCGATATACAGGTTACGCTTTAGTCTAGCGAAATTAAGTAAAAGACGGATGATGCATTTGTGCGTATGGACTTTTGGGTATTTGATTATGTAGCAACGAGCGGCGGTGTTGAT